CAAAGAGTACCAGTTTAATTACATCGATTTACTTCAACTACGCACTTTTTTGTCATTTTCTGTTCAGCTCTCCACACTTGTGTCTCTGCATTCGCACAACCTTGGACACCCTACCTCCACATTTTAGTCCCAGCTCCCTGCACAACCTCTTTCCATCCACTTCCATCATCAACCTTTCAGACTTTGATAGCTCTCCCTTCCCCATTTCTATCCTCCGTATCGGCCTAACCTCCGTCCTGGCCCTCCATTCCCTTCTCTTTGCCACTGCTCATCGACGCCGTCTGTCGTCCTGCCATTCCCCCCGTCCGTGTCCTTCTGAGCTATTGATTAAAAGCTACGCTCTGAATTAATTCCACCGAGTGCGATCTTCAGACGAGACGAATTCTCCCGTCTTTAGTCCTATCACCCAATTACAAGCCATATGCCTGCGTAGGTCATAAGCCAAACACACTCGAAAGTTCGATTCTTTGAGACGGTGAGTCGGTGTATTTTCTACAGAGCGAAGCTGTCAATTCATACAGCACATCCATTTCGTGTTCGCAGATCTCATTCTCAACGTCACCAGCTGAATTTGTCACAACTGTTGATTTCTAAAGAAGCGACGCTGTGGGTGACTAGTGCTATAGAAGCCACGGTAAAGAAATTGCTCATTAAACACGTGGCTCAAAGAACATAAAAATATTTATTGAATAATCTTAATATTATTTGTAAAATGAGTTCAATTATTACACAAAATTAACAACAGAACAACTGGTAAAGGCTGGAAAACGCTGGTGCCTGAGGTGATAATCACTTTATGCAAGGTCATGTGTTCGAATCCCGCGTTAGGCGTGATATCCAGAGATTTTCGAGCTGAGGCTCAAAGTAGACTTGTCACAGAGATAGGGAAAGGAAACACCATTTATCTGTACCGGACCCTTACGGTATACGGACTGTTTTCTGTTCCAACATGAAATTTAAAGAAAAAAAACTGGGCTGTTTTTGAGAATATCTTGACAATATTTCAACTTAATTTTAGCTACTTCCAAAATGTAAAAGATTTGTTCAAATTCGCAGCACAAGTTGAGCCACATTGATAGGAGAATATTCATTTCGAAGAAAATTCTTTCTAAAGATCATGCACAAATGATCACAGAAGAATGGAGACGATTATAAACTAGTGGTGCAACAACGTACTTTGTCACTTTAGTTGTAACTTTTACGATTTTCGAAACGTCTGAGAGTCGAAGGAAACGGAACTTTTTCGCGAAGGGAACGCCATTTTTATACGCTTCATTTTCTCTTTTTAAGAATAGTTTGGGAAAATATTTTCCAGAAAATAGTTTTTAACTACCTTCACTTCACGTACAGATTACACAAAAACAATTCATTTTTCAAAAAAATTGTACATGGCTTTATTACATTTTCTACTTTTTAGTACACAAGCAAACAATACCTACCATTCATATTGTAGGGTTTTTTTTTTTTTTGCAGTTTTCGAAATACGGTGATCTTAGAAAATAGGGCCTGTTCATTTTTACGAAAAAATACTGCGAAATATTTAATGTCTTGAAGTTCAATCATTTCCATTATAATTATTGCCGCTCTAAAAGAAACCTATAGTTAACTAGCGTTGAATTGCGATCGCGTGTGAAATAAATTTTGAACGTCCTAAAAAATTATTGCAAGATATTAACAGAAAGAATATATCCCAATAATATTAGTATGTCTAGTTAAGTAATGCATTAAAATGCCACGTACTATAAAAATAATTATTAATTTTAAAGAAACAGTACTCACGGGTGGTGTCTGTATCCTCCGGCCGTCTTTGATGAATAGACCACGTTTCTGCAACTGCCACCTCTGGTGATGTCTGGATGAATTGTGTCTTCAAATGCAGAATCTCTAGCTTCACAAATATAATAAGACTTGAAGACGCTTCTGCAAATTCTATCAGTAGTGACTATACAGTCATGTCAGGTACTACAACAACCTTTTTATTACTAGATACATATTGACAAAACAGGTACAAAACAGCAAAAATACATATAATAATAATATTAACAATAACAATAATAATAATAATAATAATAATAAAGGAACAAAAAACTGGACGTTTCTTGCACAGAGATCGCATTTAAGAGTCAAGACTGAACCTTACACAGGTGAATATTATTGACGTAATCGTTTTGCCTAATAAGAGACCCAGATTACTATTAAATCCATACTGGCACCGTTTTTCAGTCTAAAGTTGAAATCACTATAAGAAACAGACATTTTGTGTATCTCCTCCTATATTTTTGTACTAGTTCAGTCTTTTTCTTCGTGTCATGTTCATAGAAACCATCACGATCACAAAAATAATCGTCAAGTATAGTACATAAAAATCACATCGCACTGAACCTCAAAACTTCACTTTGGCACTGGGTGTTCAACCTCGGTAGTAGTAGTATGCAACCTTTCATCACGAACTTGCGTTCATGTACCAAATTTCTAGCAGATGAAGACACAGCTTCCGATTTACACTCAGATATTTTCGAATAGTTTAAGTATGTTGTTTTTAGTCCAACAAGATCTATAATTCTTTATCATTATTGTTATAAGTTTTCATTACAAAACGTCAGTAAGTCTGATTTGAAAGTTGGAAACCGATAAAATAACAATATACAGTCATTTTAATATTGAACAAAGAATTCTTTACCTCCGAAATATATAATACTTATATATTTAACGTGCAATATTATGTAATGTTTGATCAAGGCAACGTTTTTATATATGAAGAATAACGTTGCTTTTCAAGTTATAAATTCTTACGAAAACATGAATAATTATAAAGAACATAAAAATGCTGTAGTTCTGTGCTACCGCGAATGGAATCAATATTGAGATTATACACTTTAAGTATTTGATTAACAAATGCACCGAACATTTAATAACCAATTACATTTGTAATCTTTTATGATTGTCTTCGCAACTTTCCTTGAAAACTATCCATTACAAAATATCAAAAGTTCATAGTATATTTCATGCTCTGCTCTTTACATTAAAAAAACATGTGAGATTAAAATGGAAATACACAAGTATGTAAATAATTTAAAAATACTTCAATCAGTCATTTTATAGGAACTTGGAATCTCAAAAAATATCATACTATCAGCTGCCGTTGCAGTTTCTTTCACAGAAGCAGTCGCAATGTCATGACCAAAATTACTTCTCCAGTACTCTAACAGTTCAAAAACTATTTTTCCGATCTTAAAGGATTCGATAAGCCGATGTTAGCTGTTCTTACTAGAAAAATACGTACATTTACATTAACAAAGACAATCACCATTGCAGTCTTCAGACTAGATACTTTGGATACTCAGTCACCGAAAATGGTGACATAAATATACATTTTCTGGCGGCAATGAATTGAGCAAGTCCCGACTAAATTTAAAAAACTGCAGAAGAGATTCTTGATCCTCCACTGGAGCAGTATCCGAGATCACGCGGCATTTCTGAATGACCGCTAGGAACTCGCGAATCAGAGAACTTCGACACGCCCTGTACGTCGGGAGATCTTTAATAATGTAGATCGTCCTTGAGAGTGCGCTTGAATAACGTGAAATTGCCTAACAGCTAATTACACGCATGTAAAATTCTTTGAATTCTCAAAAATTCGGGGTGATATTACTTTTATCTTTGGGTTCATAGGTCGTGAAAACTCATATTTGCATTTTCTTAGTATATGTATCAGTCTTTATGATTCTTACTTCTATCAGTCTTTTTTGAGCGAGACATACTATATTTTAATAGTGTAAAATAGCATCAAAATATAGTTGGACTCACAAATTCGGAGAGTTAAGAAAGGGAATCATTGTTAAAAGTTAGGGTTAATAGGTCGTAGGAAATTCAAACCTCTAAACGCGAGACATTTGCTGAGACCAAAGTGTGTCTGTAAGGCCATTCATTTCTCTCCCAAAAGCCCTTTCAACAATTTTCGGCAATACTTAGATTCAACAGTAACTAGTTTTGATTTAAAAAATATGATGACAACGGTAACGCTTGAAATAGGCAACAAATGTTACATTTGCTCATAAGGTTAATGCAATCAACCTCGATGTCTGAGCTTCGTGAAAATGCGGCTCTCTCTAGCCACTGGTGAGACGCATTTGGTCAGCTCATTAGGTCAACAATTTGTCAGAGATATACGTGATGTGACTGTATAACCAACTTTCTGAGAAACAGAAATATTATCAAGCTCGTTTACACACACGACTCTCCCAAATTATTGTGGTAAGTGATATTATAGTATAAATAACTTACAACTCGTGGGGGAGTTGCTTTCGAGCATAAAATAACTCTAAGCACGTCCTGCAGTATTTCGGATGCTGATGCAGTAAGTGTAGTCAAGGGCAGCCGTGTAGGACTCCGGCTGGAGTCCAGTTGTAGCTCTCGGCGGGCGACCGAGCATTTGCCGTGGAAAGAACACGACCTGTTGATAAAGCAACCTTCGACACGGCTTTGCTCAGCAAAAGTGGAATCGGGATGTAGCTCGTTTCTCGCTAAATGTGAGATTCTCTTGGACGCGACGCGAAGTAGCGTCAATACAGAGCCCCGTTTAACTTATCGGAGACATTCATTTGCAAGATTTTTGCAATGTGTTAGATTGCCTCCCTACAATTAGCTAAATAGTAATACATTGACAACTGAGATCATTTTCAGTAACTAATTCACTACAGCCTTGCGAAAAATTGTAATTGATGTCACACGTTGACCGCCAAGTGAGAGCATAATTATAGTCTCACATAGCAGTCAATCAGTTGAAGAAAGTAATCGATCTTGAATGCTCCTACTTGAAATTGGCGTCTGTTTCTTAATTGCAGCTTTCTTTAAAGACTTTGAAATATTGGAAACTACTTGAAAGAAAGCTGCAATCCTACAGAGGAGCTACGATGGAAATGAAGGAACCAGCGCCAGTCGCAAGTCCTGTCACTGGATTCTCTTGTGTCTTCCTTGGCAGCGTGACCGTTGCAGTCCCTATGCCTAGAGCTTCGACTTCGCCGCTGGTGCAGTCGCAGGCAGGCGGGCAACAGGCGGGTGCTGGGCGGGCAGTGGGCAGGCTAGCACTGGGCAAGGGGTGATGTGGCTGGTGGTCGACGAACAGGGAACGAATGTGTGGGCGGGATGGCTGCGGTGGTGCGGAAGGTTGCTGCTGGCCTAGGCCTCCGCCGGGCCTCCGGTGGGCGGGCGGGGCGGGCGCGTGGCGCGGCGCGTGGGCAGCCGCGAGGGCCCGGGGAGGCGCGCGCGCAGGCGGAGGCCGATGTGCAGGCGGCGGAGGCGCGGGCGGCGCGGGCGCGCGACGCGCACCGAGGCGCTGGCGGAGACGGCGGCCGACAGCCAGCCGGAGGCGCTCAGGCAGGCGGAGCCCGCCCCGCTCGCCCACGCGCTCTCCGCCCCTTCCGGTTCCGGCGGGGACAGGGGCGGGGACGGGGGCTGGGCGTCCCCGGCGGCCAGCGCGCGCCCCAAGGCGGCGAACGAGGCGCGGTGGAAGGCCAGCGACGCCGCGTGGGACAGCACCTGCGCGCACGCCGCACACCCTCAGCACCTGCAGCGCTCATTACCAAGATGTGAAACATGATACAGCTATAAGGAGGGGCGGATTTTAATGAAATTACTTTTTCTTTTCACTTTAGAACAATGTCTTTTAACATAAACATTAATCTTGTCATGACAAAAATAAATAACCCGTTTTTATATGTCATTTTTGTGCAATATACGTCGATTTCGACAAGTCATCGATTACCTTCTTCAGTCATTTTTAAGGAATTTTCCGCTGATTTCATGGATTATATCTTCATTTTAATGGTACTTGCTTGAAATAATATTTACGGGATACAAAAAATTCTTCCTAGAATTCCTGCGTGGCTTATTCGATTTGTTCGCTCATTACAACTAATGCCAGCCGTTTCATGTAATCCATGGTTCCTGTGATGCCTATAAGCGCCACTGTCGGTTCGGCCGATTTCGCGTTAAATAACGGCATAGGATTCCTGCTAAAGAATAGTCCATGAAAAACAAGTTTGTCATTGTATCTATATCAGATTGCTCTAGAAGGCTGTTTTCTCCATTTTTGTTTTCTTTCATATAAGTATCGCGATTATCGATTTCGTTTGGGGGCACTTTTCACCTCCTTATTCGTCTATACCCTTTGCTGAGGTATTCAGTAAAAATGATATGATGAGCAAATGATAAAAGGGAAAAATTATTCCAAAATGAGAAAATACATTACGTGTACCTGTCTTATAGAAAATGTGCTTACAAAAAATGAGTCCTGAACACATAACAAGTTTTCGTTCGCCACATCATATGTTGCAGAAATACGGGGTGATACTGCCGTATAGAAGAAGTTTCATAAAAAACAAATTTAATTTTCACACATCGTCTTTCTGTATGTGGTGAAAGTGTGTGGATGTCATTGCACAATACAGGTTTGTGTGCACAAGCGTTGCGTATTTGTAACATTTCTGTGCATATTTCAACATTTTTATGGCATAACTGCTTGCCTTCTGGCTTTTCCGAGTGGTACACATGAGTAGTATCAACGCAAAGCATATATATTCAATAACACACAGCCTGTCGACGAAGTTGTACAAGTTGTGAATACACGTACACAGTGTGTTGTTGTAAAATTAAAGGACGGCAGGCAACAGATTAAGAAAACACGCTCTTCTGAAGCTCAATAAAATGTGCGCAGATAATACTTCTCCCCAGAACATCACATACAGTTTTCTGTTCGTTTTTTTTAATTTTATTTTTTACGTAATAAACCAAATGAAACATCTGTCCCAGACATCTCATGTTGTGTGCTTCTTCTTCTGAACGCGAAGACAAAAATGAAATAGCTTTGGCTACGTACGTCTGTACTTTTATTTTACACATTAATCTAAGATGTCATGCATGTGTTTCACATTTAACATATACACGTGTAACGTTAACATATATGTACGTGTAAAATGACGAGGCATGAAGGTATGCCTTAAATATTTCTGAATAACCATAAAGTTAAATCGTTAGTTAAATATAGTGAAAAGCCTACTTTTCCTATCCATGATTTGTAATAAATGAAATAAGAGATTCTAATGAATTTGTTTTCTGAATGTCGTTTGCTAGATGAGAAATAAAACCTGTGTACGTTTGTTATCATACACTATAATATTTAACATAATTTTCAAGGAGCAAATCCAACACCAAATATATAAAACAAGGACAAAGATGAATTTTTCATGTACATTTTCATTGTCTGAATCTCAGTTAAGAAAGGAAATATTTCACAATTTAGTTCTGCAACTTCAGGACTTAAAGAATTTCAGCAAACAAAAGAATAGAGACAACTATCTGTGTGTTTGTAGCGGCACAACATCTCCTGATGGGGCCAAGACCTTTCAGCGGCGTCCCGGCCTAGCGACCATGGGTTAAGGGGTACCAGTGTTTAGCACAGACATCCATACGTCGTATACCGGTCTTCTGAACTTGAGAAGTGAGCTTTATGACCGTCATTGCATGGAAAGAGGACACTATAATCTGTCCCGCCCGATCGGGAAGCGAATCCGGAATCGCGTCATGGAAAGCGAGCACGCTGACCACTGAGTTACGCTTGGGCCAGAGACAACGTTACGTCTACTAATTGTACTAAAATAATTCAAAAACATAAAAATGTGCTTAGTTTGAATCCAATGCCAGAGACACAGAACCACCTTTCCATTCTTACGCATTGCATCCTCCGTTTGCATTGCGGGCTAAATACCCTCGCAGCCGTGGTGTGGTGTGGGGCTTGCCTGAGAGA